AAGGCAATGTAGGGCTGACCCTGGCAGGCATATTAGCACCAGTTATTAATTCTGTCGATACCGTTAATACTTTGATGGCGTAACACAGGCAGTTAATGTTTGTATCAAATAAGTCCCTACCTTTTTTTAAAAGTTTTGGTATTTTCATCAGTAAGCATTTTAGGGCATGTCTCACAATTTATTCCCTCTGTCTACATTGGGTAAGATGTTTCTTAAAGATATATTTGCTATTTAAGTAACTGTAATACCTCTGAATTTTAAATATAGAGTCAAAAGTAGACCTCGAAGTTAGATGTTCAATCTAGAACTCTGTAGGAGATCGAAGGCCTCAGGCAAAGATGTTTACTAATGGACACACAGGTAGATAATGAATGTAGACCTCCAGGTACGTGATGACAGTAGACTTCGGTGCTCCGTTTCACAAAGCTGTCGTAGTGCTACGACTGTACGCAACTGTATATTTACAGTTACAGGAGTTACGACAGTCGCAACGCTACGATAGCTTTAATGGCTGGGAGCCCAAGATAGTTATTGTTGGAATCTAGACCTCGGGGTATATGTTCAATCTAGAACTCTGGGAAGATTGAAGGCCTCCAGGCAGATGTTTTGCTGTACACCTCCGGGCAGATGTTGACTGGAGACTTGCACGTTTAGGTAATGGACTGCCATGAATATCGGGCAGATGCTGACTGTAGACACCAGAGAAGATGCGGACTGTGAGACTCCCCGGTTGATATGTTGCTATTGAATAATTTGTTGGCGATTAGTTTCATTTTCAAAACCCACGAACCCAGCTGTGGTTTCGGACAGACAAAGGATCATTATTGGGGAATGTGGAATTCAAATACACGGATCCTGGCACCACTAAAGGTCGCAATAGCCTTTAAAAGATAACATATATGCAGTGTTACACGTTATTCAACAATGTTTCAACAGTTATACAACAGTAAAGCAGTTAATGGATCCATTAAGGGGCAGTTGCGTGCCATATTTAGACTTGCGCTATATTTAGACATAGTTCTAGTCGCTTCCATCGCGTTCTCACCCACAGAACTTTTTAGAAACTTTTTTTTGTGTATATGAAGCGAGCTAGCTATTGCCCCTCATCTCACATTACATCACAAGTTACCAGAATACCAGCTTTTTGTGTGATGGCCATATACCCTGCTTAGGCCTAGAGTTACTGGTCGGATTACCGTTGCTGAAGGTTAATATGCCTTTAATATATATTTATGGACTGTTATAATCACCGCTCGTGTATTATACTGCCTCTTGATATGTACTATTATATTTTGTAGTCTATGTTGTACTGTCATAGTACTAACTTTGTATTGATTTTATAACTTATTCAATTATAGAATGCAGTTGTTAATTATGTTACATTGTAATTTGTTTATTGGCTTCACACTCACTTCTTTTACGGACTCAGTAACAGTAGACACTCAATCTGTTTTTCCCAACAGCCAAACAAGGTTGGTGATGCAGTGAAGGCCGCAGTACAGATGGGATACCGCCATGTTGACACAGCCTTGATCTATAAAACGGAACCGGAAATTGGGGTCGCCGTTAAAGAACTGATAAAAGAAGGGAAAATAAAGAGGGAAGAGCTGTTTATTGTGACGAAGGTAGGATGTAAACAAGGTTAATTTGATACTGTCAACACCCTTTCACAACAGCTTTACATGTATGTCATCATTCTGGTGTGTTATCATTGCAGATGTGGGTGCACTGTCACGAACCAGATCAGGTGGAGCCAGCGTGTCGCCAGTCACTGGAGGCCCTAGACATGGATTATATAGATCTGTACCTAATACACTTTCCCATGCCTTTCGTTGTGAGTCAAGACGTCTCTGCCTTTTGTGATTTAACCATCCATGTTGAAGTCGGATATCAAATTATTGGTTATCTAAATGTTATGAAATATTGACATAAATTTGTCAACAGTTTAGTCTTTATCTGAAGGTGCAATGGAAGTTTGAACTTAAGAGACCACTTTATACTAAAGATTAGTTATCAAACGATTGTTTGATGTATTTAATGTCGTAACGAGAATCATGTTTCATTCCAAAGGATATTGTATGTATATGTCTGCATAATTGTGTTTCCCCAGGACAGGGAACGGACCAAGCCGACCATGACGGACTACCTGGACACGTGGAAAGTAGGTGCCTCCAGCCCAACTCTAACACTGAACCGTATTAGTGTACGCTCACAAACGTGGTGTGCTTGTTGTTTAACGCCGCATTCAGCAATGTTCAAGCTATATCTGTGAATAATAAAGTCTGGATGAGGCAATCCAGTGACCAACATCATGAGCATCGATCTACGTAACTGGGAAACGGTGACATGTGTCAAGTCAGCGAGTCTGACCGTCCGATCCCGTTTGACGTCTCTTACGACAAGGATGGGTTGCTGAAGACCAATGACAATCAGGATCTTCCTGGATTATAAACAGCACCGCCTCCCTTAGAAAACGAAACATGAGGAAAAGTCAAATCATGAAAATATACAATTCATTCAAAGTCAATTCAGTCAAAGTCAAAGCTGTGTAAGACAATGGGAAGGTATCAATACATACAGCAGAAACGAATCTGAATCTCAACTGCCACCACTCTAGTTGTTTTTAAGCTGTTCTGGTGTTGATGTTATTTGTACTTCAATTGTAAGTGTCCAATGAACATAAGAGGAACATACTTTAAATGCTTCGTTGTAACTTATTTCATTGAAGAATATAGTTTACCTTTGATTTTTTAAAGCTTTAGAAAATACAAGATTTAAGTAAAATAATGTATTTTGTCTATGTGCCCAAAGGAACTTTGTTTAAAATGTTAGATATTTTCTGGATCCAATGATTACTTCTTTTACTCTGAGAATAACCTGTGGTAGGAACTCGTTATATATGGCAAGGGAATACATAAGGTACTTAATATGACTCTCCTCCCCGCAGGCCATGGAAAGCTCGTGGACAAGGGTCTTGTCAAGAATCCATTGGTGTTTCTAACTTCAATAAACAACAACTGGAGAGGATACTCAAAATGGACGGTCTCAAGTACAAAGCCTGCGAATAACCAGGTAGATATGACACCACATGATTCCCCATATAATGCTTCTAATATGCCCTGTGCTCGTGGAGTTAACCAGACTAGTAAACATCCGATGCCTGCATCACTTCCCCTAACACATGGTTCAAAGACCTGACATAGTGTTGACAACGTTGTTTGTTTCAGGTGGAGATAACTCCATATCTGGCAGAGGACGAACTTCTGCAGTTCTCCCTCAAGAACGGCATCTCAACTACTGGCTACGCGCCGTTCGGGGCACCAGGACAGAACTAGTAAGTTGAGTTATCTACGCCTTTGATGCCAGTAGCAAATGTCCTTGCCTACATGAACACTACCAAGCCAGCTGTCGTCCATTTTCCCTGTTGTAAGTCCAGCGCAGGTTTACAGAACTACATTGGGCAACAATGTCTAAAAATAGCGTCCCACTGTGATGGTACCATCATATCAACTTTAAGGTAGATCGAGTATATATGAAGGATTACCTAAATGAAGCGTTATTTGCTTTTACAGAGATGTTTTACTTTCCAACCAACGAAATTTCACAGCTTCACACTGTCATGTGTGACATCGTGAAATACAACCGCCACTAGCGGTCACATCGGAAGTTAACGGAACGGATATTCATCACTTTTCAGCATGATTCGGGTCTGGATTTGATTCCAGTTCCTACATTACTGGATGTAACTTCCATTTCAAGTGTAGCACCAAGGACGTAACCCAAATGCACTTGTAGTAACGTTACGATGACGCCTCGACAGAAACTACTATCCGCGTAAATTAAGTTGGCTTTAAATAATTACGTTTTGTGTTTCATTGGCTTGTCTTGTTAAGATCTCCTGATGAACGTCAACAAACACACCTGCGCATTTTAGAGAATTGTTACAAACACACTCACTACCACACCAGGAAGAGTACCTTTATCAAAGAGTTCAAATGGAGAGTTGTTTTGTGTTAATCCCCAAGCTATGTACGTCCAGATCTAATCTGTGTACAAAATCAATAAATAGTTAACATATTTGCTATACCAAGCCTGCACTGACGAGCTCATCGATGAGTCTTACCATCAAATATTTCAGTATATCCAAAGACGTACCAAAGCTGCTTAGTTCCATATAACAGTTAAACACAGTTATAACTGTCAGAAGACAGCATGAGAATTCCGACACGACCCTGCATTGCAGAGCTCTTTGATGACGCTTGCCTTCATATATTTCAGTGTATCCAAGGATGCACCCAACCTCTGGAAAACCCGACCATTGTCGAAATAGGAAGGAAATACAACAAATCCTCAGCTCAGGTATACTGTCTTTTTAAAATAATATGCCAAAGAGTCACCCATACATACATCTTAATTATACCATGACTTTGGACAGTCAGAGGTTACATATTGCAGCAATAACATATATTGATAGGGACTTTCTAATAGTTGTATTCAGTCACGTTGTTATGAGAGTGTGTGTTTTGTATTTTGTAATATCACATTGATTAAGTGATAGTTATTATGGGTCACAATATTTAAAGTTTTGAGTGTGGGTTGTGGCTCACATCTCGCATCATATATGTTCCATGGCAATAGTCTTTTTAGCGGCACGCCTTTTTGATAGCGCTTCAGAGTTGCCTCTATTGGCTGGCTTTATGTTGCTTTGACTTCCGGGTCTGGTCGCGTCTTGTGTATACGATGGCTTTCGTGAATGTTCGTGAGTGTATAACGACGGAGCCTAGTTTTGCTAGAATGCTCGAGAACTCTGCAAGAGCTATGCAAAGGCTGGTTGTTGCGTTGTGCGACGGGACTTATCACATCACTGGAGTTATACACATCTGTCTGCCATCGTCAAGCCGACCTACATTTCAAGACTGACCGTGCTCGTCTATATTCAACTATTGTCATTGTAAACAACCTTCAATCAGTATATTTGTTCTCACTGTGAATGTCAAGACTCTGGTGAGCTAATATGTTATATTTGTGACGCAATACTGTAGATTTGTGACTCAATTACATTGTACTAGATATCAGTATTGTCATTCATTGTCGCTTGCTCATTGTTTGCTCAATATATTATTGAATATTTTAGACTTGTCTGTTTTCTATTTTGCTAGTTCAAAGGGGATTCTTAAACCTTTTGTCACGGCAAATATTAACCGTAACAACGTATATAGTGGATTGCGGTGGTATGTAACAAACAGGTGCAACAGAGAGGTGTGTCATCTTTTCTTGCTTTAAATGGGAGAATATAAACCCCATTGGCTCAGGTCACAATCAGGCGATGTCTGCGGGGACATAAAGACACTGTTACGTATATTATGGGCGAGGCGTCCATGCATGTCTTACATGTGTCATGACGTCTTACGTTACTGGTGCTTACGTCGTTCACTGACAGCCCAATGTCAATGTTTATCTCAGAGTTGAGTAGCTGGATATCTATAGAATAACCAACATTGGTGACAACAGTGTTTTTAGTCATTTGAGTGGCGGATGCTACCAGCAGGTGAGGACATGCAAACACCTGGTGTTCAGTGGATAATCTAGACTGGTTTTTCCTTTGCGTTGACAGAAGTATAAAGAAGATATTGGATGTTTTGGTTTTAATATTCAATTACTGTCTAACTGGTATTTAATGTTTCTTTAGCAACCGCCAATTAATCAGGTTTTCTGTTCCAGAAGACACACTTTAGACACGCATATATGCAGATGTGTTTTCCATTTTGTTCACTATTTCTTTGCACCACAACTGAGTTATTTACGATGTAATAACAACAAATATGTTATTTATGATATGTAATACGTGTCCTGACAGATTTGTTATTGACGATGTAATACTGTTCTCAACAGAAATGTACCCGTGAAGATCCGGGTTAGAATGACCCTTCAGTAACCCATGCTTGTCGTAAGAGGCGACTAACGGGATCGGGTGGTCAGGCTCGCTGGCTTGGTTGACACATGTCATCGGTTCCCAATTGAGCAGATAGATTCTCATGCTGATGATCACTGGATTGTCTGGTCCAGACTCGATTATTTACAGACCGCCGCCATATAGCTTGAATATTGCTGAGTGTGGCGTAAAACTAAACTCACCCACCCACTCAACAGAAATGTCACAGACGATGTTCTGCAGCTTCTGCTAGATGTGGAGATTTGTTCGATGTACCACCCACCACCACCCCCACCCCTGTAGAAAGGTTGTTATGATTCCAAACAAGATATCTGTTGCTACTTCCGATGTACTACTGACCCGAAGTATTCTTGTGCATCAGGTGATCCTCAGATATGGCATACAGAGAGGCTATGCTGTAATTCCCAAGAGTACGAATCCAGCTCATCTGGCCCAGAACATGGATGTGAGTATTTGTTCTCTTTGGAACTATACTTTCCATCAAAAGTTTAGACTCACTGAAAACAGTCATTATATGTTAGGTATATATATGGTTACATCGAAGATTGATTTCTCCACTAACTTGGGGGAACCAACTGCAAACCTGATGCAGATGAATTGCACGAGGATCATGCATCAAACAGCTGAAAAGCATGTGCGAATATTATACATGTGACCAGGTGTGTTTTGGTGTAAAGTTTTGCCAGGAATTCGCCAATTTACTGAGTTTTATCATTTCTTGAACTCATGACTCATTTTCAACTGAACGAAGTTGTTTTACATCAGTTCAGGTATAAACAGTATCTTTAAACAGAGTGGAATATTTTGCAAAATTTCAATAAGAACAGTTGACTGAAGCAAGTGGCTATATTTACATTTGTGAGTCTAAACTTTTAATAGGAAGTATATGTAATAATTCACAGGAACATGTGGCCTAGTTCGCTGCGTGTGTTTTGACTGTTTTACAATACATCAGTTCAGGTATAAACAGTATCTTTAAACAGTATGGAATATTTTGCAAAATTTCAATAAGAACAGTTGACTGAAGCAAGTGGCTATATTTACATTTGTGAGTCTAAACTTTTAATAGGAAGTATATGTAATAATTCACAGGAACATGTGGCCTAGTTCGCTGCGTGTGTTTTGACTGTTTTACAATACATCAGTTCAGGTATAAACAGTATCTTTAAACAGTATGGAATATTTTGCAAAATTTCAATAAGAACAGTTGACTGAAGCAAGTGGCTATATTTACATTTGTGAGTCTAAACTTTTAATAGGAAGTATATGTAATAATTCACAGGAACATGTGGCCTAGTTCGCTGCGTGTGTTTTGACTGTTTTACAATACATCAGTTTAGGTATAAACAGTATCTTTAAACAGTATGGAATATTTTACAAAATTTCAATAAGAACAGTTGACTGAAGCAAGTGGCTATATTTACATTTGTGAGTCTAAACTTTTAATAGGGAAGTATATGTAATAATTCACAGGAACATGTGGCCTTGTTCGCTGCGTGTGTTTTGACTGTTTTACAATACATCAGTTCAGGTATAAACAGTATCTTTAAACAGTATGGAATATTTTGCAAAATTTCAATAAGAACAGTTGACTGAAGCAAGTGGCTATATTTACATTTGTGAGTCTAAACTTTTAATAGGAAGTATATGTAATAATTCACAGGAACATGTGGCCTAGTTCGCTGCGTGTGTTTTGACTGTTTTACAATACATCAGTTCAGGTATAAACAGTATCTTTAAACAGTATGGAATATTTTGCAAAATTTCAATAAGAACAGTTGACTGAAGCAAGTGGCTATATTTACATTTGTGAGTCTAAACTTTTAATAGGAAGTATATGTAATAATTCACAGGAACATGTGGCCTAGTTCGCTGCGTGTGTTTTGACTGTTTTACAATACATCAGTTTAGGTATAAACAGTATCTTTAAACAGTATGGAATATTTTGCAAAATTTCAATAAGAACAGTTGACTGAAGCAAGTGGCTATATTTACATTTGTGAGTCTAAACTTTTAATAGGAAGTATATGTAATAATTCACAGGAACA